ACTGTGTTTAAGCAGTCCCACGGAACACCTACTGAGTAATAAACAAGCTCGTTTTCAGTGATTTGTAAATAATCAGAGTGATAATACTTGCGTTGGTTTCTCACCTTGTGACCAAGGCTTTCTGACTTGTGTACTGAGTCAAATCACTTCAATTCAATTCTTTTCATAATCTCGGAGGATAGTGCTGAGATGCTGAAGGTACGATCCGTGAATTAGGCTCGCAAAAATAAGCTTTACTAGATCGTGTATAGGGAAAAATGAAAAAAATACGAATGACGGTCAGATCTCCTGTTCCGGGGTGGCCCAGTGTATAGTATGTATGCGTTCTGCCTGTGGTGAGGCCCAGGGTTCGTGATATACTCAGCTGGATAGATGAACTTGTGCACGGCTGGTGACACCCAACCTGGTCAAAAGAGCTGTCCAGTGCTTCTTGGCTTTTCAGTTCACATTTCATTCACACCCTGAGACATAACGAAATTCACCAGATATAAAGAAAACCAACACCTTTGTTTCTCTCATGTAGTTCGGATAAATTGATAAAAATAATTTGCAGCAAGAGGAAGCAGTCAATTATGGGGCTACCATACATAGAAAATGAGTAAAGTTCGACAGTGGTCTTGGTACACGTCCTTGGGGGATGGAAGTTAATGTTCCTAACCGCTTTGCCATTGTTCCGACCCCAATGAGGTCTCACACTCTAACCACATTGGAGGCCGATCTCATCCATCTCCATAAACCTCACTCTGTGCGTTCAAGAGTAAATCGAGACGACAGCTAGGGCGTTCCTGGACGAATGTGTAGCCCCGGACACCCATATACTAAATGGGAACAATCAAGACACGATTATGTGTTAACTCAAGCCATCATTCCTTCACTGGCAACCCCAATCTCTGATTAATTGTATAATTATTTGTATTGATATAATTTGAGAAAACTGAAAACGAGCTTGTTTGACCCAAATTAGTATAGCTTGAAACCCGACAAGAAAACGCCAAACACCGCATTCACAAGCTTCTTGAAAATTGTTGTCTTCAGTGCAAAGTTGGGATCACTTTGCAATACTGGTTCAAAATATCTATCAGTTTCTATTTGGCTCGGTGTTGCCTATTCTACAATGAAGCATGTGACTCGCAAACACACAATATTTAGGTGTCGTTTTTTTTTTCAAATAAAATGGGGTCAAGCAGTTGCAACAGTTGCATCGAGGATAGAAACTAGTTAAGTGGTCTCAACAATTGCCTCAAAGCTCTATGAATCAGTTGTTGCCATGACGCAATCCAAATTCAATTGGTTCATTTCATTTTCTCTCTTTCTTTCTCTTTGAACAATCTTTGCTGGGACTGAAAGCAGATCATACTGTTGTAAAAAGGTTAGAATATGATTCTGATTTATTGAACAAGGAATTGATTAATAAAATTCGGCTTGCGTCGACTGATAAGGCGAATTTACTTTGGGATTTATTGGAGGATAATTTCATTTTCACGAATATACCGGTAATGGCGATGCTCTTTGGACTTACACACGGGTTATCCTCCAGGTTCCGCGTAACAGGTTTGCTTGTTTACTTCCGACTACGTATTTGGTCGAATAGGGAAGAAGCAGTGAAAAGAATGTCCGTCGGTCGCCTACCGCAGCGCGCCTTATTTGCACCGGCCGTTACAAGCTGGGGAAAGCCACGTGGAGGCCAGCAGATGACGTGGAGACGAAGTATGAAGAAATGCACAGAACGATTAGGTAGAGCAGGTGTCTCTCGTCTTCCGGATTGGGGTCCCAAAAACTCCGTAATCGCTCGGTTAGAGACACTGAAAGTCATGGCTGCGAAGCGACAGCAATGGCGATCATGCTGTCACTTCTTATCAGTCCAAAATGCTTGAACTAGTATGTATGCACAGTTGGGCTGTGTACTCTGTGTTGACCATAGAGGTTCGCTTTCTTTTCTCATCCCTAAAAATAGGCACAATCCCTGTCCTCCTTACATATTCTCACTTATCTTAAAGGTATTATGAGTTTCGCGGCCATCAGTGAAGTTCCCTTCATTGTATTACGCAGTACAATAGGGATGATGATGAGTAAATCAAAAAAGATAGGAGCAGTTGCA